TGTGAAGTGTCTAAAATAATTGACCAATTAGACTCTAATACATGGTCCGGAATAGATATACACTCCACAAAACCAGTTAAATGTATTAAGTACTTAAATCTTACAAAGCATGCAAAAATTATTATCTTGAAAGCGGAATTTTTCCATATGACTAAACCGCCAAAGTTACACCTATATACTATTCCGGCACGAATACTGTCCTTAGTGATTACCATTCTGTTTCTGTCTTATCAGCCATTTCTAAAGCTTTCGAAAAATATAACCACTTAAACAAATACTTCATCATCATCATTCATCATCATTAAAGCCTTTCATAAGTCCACTGCTGAACATAGGCCTCCCCCAAGGAATGCCACAAAGCACGGTTCTGAGCCACGTGCATCCATCGACTTCCTGCATGCCTTACCAGGTCGTCACTCCATCTCGTGGGGGGTCGCCCTACACTTCGCCTACCTGTACGAGGCTGCAACACAAGAACCGTTCTTCCCCATCGGTTGTCGGTTCTTCGAGTTATATGGCCGGCCCACTGCCACTTCAGCTTACTAATCCGTTGGGCTATGTCGGTTACTCTGGTTCTACTGCGGATATACTCATTTCTAAGTTTATCACGCAGAGAAACCCCGAGCATAGGCCGCTCCATAGCTCGCTGAGCGACCTTGAGCATCCTCATACGGTCAGCAGTGAAGGACCACGTCTCAGATCCGTAAGTCATCACTGGCAACACGCACTGGTTGTACAATTTTGTTTTAAGGTTTTGAGGTATGTCTGACAAGAAGATGTGTCGTAGTTTCCCGAACGCTGCCCAGCCGAGTTGAATCCGTCGATAAATACTTAATATCAATTAACTTTATTTCAAATTATCAGTAAGGTTTCCGCTTTAGATCACCAGCAGATTTAATAACTAAAATAAAATAAAAATTAAGATGGAAAAAAATCAGGACATGGAATATTTATTGACTTAATAGCCGTTTGATACACATATACACTCATTTTTATTAAAGAAGCATTCTCCATGTCAGTGTTAACGATTTAATGCTTTAAAATTTTGACAGTTATTTAAATAAAAGTAATCAAGTATATAGATTGGTCACTATCAAAGTTCTCCACAAGCCACTACGTACAGTTTTCCCCAAGGCTTCACTTCTTTTCCTGATTTTTGTAAATAACATAAGTGATATTAAAATTAAATGCCAAAAATTCCTTACATGCAGATAATACCTGTTATTTTTACTCTAGGCATTTCAAATATATGAAAATTCGTTAATAAGCACACAGATTTATTGAAATGTCCTTTGATTTTAACCCTACTCTAAAGAAAGTCGAATAAAGCCTTTCATAAACGGTTGTTGTTTTTTGCGCGTTCCGTTAAATTACTGTAGTATACATAATTTTAATTAAATTCGCAAGCTATACTGGGTGGCGAATAGGTTATGACGTTAAATAGCACAGCAGTTAATACAAGTTGATATATGTCTGTTAAAATAATAAAAGAAAATAAAAAATGCATTTTTATATAAATCAGCCTTGATAATATATACGTTACTGACCTGAAGTGACTTACAAAACGTCGCACGTGCCGGAAAAATAATAATTTCGACATCCGGTCCCATTTCTTGTCACTTCGCGCATAGAGAATTATGCCTTAACTTCATTACTTTAAGTAAATTTTTCGCTTGAATTTGTTTTCACACACCCGCAGCGCGTGGTTCCTTTGTTTTTAATTTCGCGCATAAAATTATGCCTTAAATTGTTAGCTGTAAGTACAGTTTGTGTTTGATTTTTTCTTTATTTAAGTAGTTCGGATTGACAACGTTGAAACTACCTATATTCGCCTTCAAATGGCATGGGTCTTTGACCTTCTAAAATTCACGTGATATCTGTATACATTTACATGATGTTATTTAATATTAAAACGAAAAAAATGCTACTGCGACTAATGTATTAATTGTTATATATTTTTTTAGTTGTGTATGTTTAAAGAAATTTATGTAGCATACGTCTTTTCATTTTATGTGATAACTTTTTCGTCACTCGGTATAATAAAATATGTGACACTATCCAACAAAAAGAAATGTGTAAAACAAATGAAGTATATTTACCATGTTTTAGCTTTTCATGTATTGGCGGCGTAAGAAATTGCACTACTCCATTCGAAGCTGAAATTCTCTCCCGGAATCGTAATGTATTGAGAGTATTCAGAGAGTGGCCCTTCTTTATTCTTATTTGCCTTTCCGTAGCCGTTATCGATACGCTTAGGTGACGAAGGATCTACTCAACTGTGCTGTGTATATTACCCGAAGATATATCAAACGGTACAATTTACCTTAGGTAAGGTACGTTGGGGTAATACCGGACGGATTTTCGAAAAGTTGGAAGAGTCTGCCAAAAACTTTAATTTCTCGACATTCGTATACGTCAGATTTATGGAACCTGGAGCAAACCGTTAATCGTTAAACGTAGTTTAGCTCTGAGAGTCTTTTGCTTGTGTAAACTCAACGGTTTCTGCTTTAAAGGTGTGCGAAAACTAGACATACTTTTTTATATGCATAATGAAAAATTGGCCATTAAGGGGTAAGACCGGACTTAAATTTAAAACCACTTCTACTGCTTAGAGAAAAAAGTTTATAAAAGAGATTTGTCCTATATTTAACGCTCAAAAACATATTTCAGTATGATCTATAAATTACTAGAAACATAAATGTTCCAAACGATTTTCTCTTTTTTTGTTTTTTGCCATCCGATCTTATCCCTGATATAAAGAAATTGTAATTTTATGTTTCTCAAACTTTGTTATGACATAAGATGGAATTACTCAATATAAGAGAAAGATCGGATGCATTTGATTTTATATGGGAAAAAAAATAACAGTAAGGACTGGCGAAATGCCCTGGGATAATGCAGGAGTTAAGGAAGATATAAATATTTTAACAAAGCGGCATTTATTATTATAAATTATTTTTTAAATAATTATTATAAATTACATTTTGATTTGTAATAGAGGATAGATATAGATGTCTATGGGCCGCAGTAATCACTTAACATCAGGTGGACTGTGTGCTCCTTTGTCACCCTTATCCTATAAAAAAAAAATGTATTTTAATGTGTACTTAAAAGTAATAAAACCATCGTATTGTTTTATTACTTTTAAATATACAGACTTGCTAACGAGACTGAGTCCCATAGTCACTTGAGTAATCAACGAAAAAATATACACGACCAATGAAAGTTTAACAACCACTGCCATATTTGTAACAGGCAAAGATCGGATAATATTCATCCGATCTTCACTCACGAGGGGAAACATCGGATCTCGGCCTACAGCAATCTTACCCCTGCATGGACCAGCTTTATTTAGCTATAACTTCATAAAAATTAGTATCCACACAAAATAATAACAAAAGAAGCCATATTCTCGCTAAAAATCGTAAATAAAAGTGATAGGGAAAGATCGGATGGACAAAAATAATACAAAAATTACATTGTTTTATAAAATGCCACGCAGCACAGGTCCCACTTGCCGGAGTGACTGGCGCGAACTGAGGGTCGGGGCAGGATGAAATGGCGTCGTGTAGCATATTGTTAGCTTTTCAAAATATAGCATAATTCGCCGGGAATTTGAATCCTACGGTCTTGCCCCATCACCGATCTTACCCCAACGTACCTTACCTCGAGAACCCTCTTAAATCATGTATGAGGCACCAAGTCGAACACATTTTTTTAGTCTATTCATGCGACAGAGAAATTTCAATGACTGCATTTAACCGTATTACGAATATCCACGTTAATGATAAGTACCTCGTAGGACCAACAACCATCAGAAAATTTAGTATTAAAAATGCTTGGTCATAATACCAAATTTATGGCAAGTCAATCACTATCCAAGCAGTTCGTCTATGTAATACCCTGCCGCTGTCAGCGAGACGTACCAAGTCTTTATCTGTTTTTCAGAAGCTTGTACACAACCATTATCTTAATCTTTGAGTTCGTGCCATTAAGATTTATATATTCATATTTTACATATTTATATGTTATTTCTTTTTATTTATTATATGAAAATATTTATAAATATTCTGTTTTTGCATCACCAAATCACACAATTTTTTGCCTTTTGCGTCCTTCAAATCCTGTCCATCCAAAGGTTGTCTGGAAGAAATCGCTTTTAGCGAAAGATCTCCCATGCTGACTCAACATTTTTTCCTTGTTTTTCGTTTATGTATTGTTTTAGTGTACATTAATTATCTTGCTATCTATTCACCGCCCTGAAATCAATTTTGAGCGCGCAACGTCATCCGATTTAAGTCGAGGTGTCGGGTGATTCCTGTTCTAAAAATCTTATAATATACGAAAATCCGTCACAGTTTCAGGATGAAGGATTCTGGCTCTAATCGTGAATCTAAACTATTCTAGGATCAACTTAATCACACACTCACCCAATTCATTTTAGGAGGAGTACATATATATAATATTCTAGCTGGCCAGGCAGACGTTGTTCTGCCCTTTTCGACGACCCTTCATATAAAAAATCCTTGTAGGTATTCGTAATTAAAAATATTGAGTATCACTTATCAGGATAAAAACTATCCTATTCCTCAAGTTGGACCAAACTGCACAGTGTGCAAAATTTCATTGAAATCAGTTCAGGAGTTTAGGAGTTCATCGCGGACAAACAATGTGACACGTGATTTATGTATATATATATATATATATATATATATATATCTTTATATATAAAATATATAATAAAGCTACATCACTCCTGGCATTGCTATAACTTCACGAACAGATAGAGATCTGTCCGTGAAGTTACATCGCAATCGGTTCCACCATTCCGAAGATTCGCCTGAACAGAAAGACAGACAAAACTTTTAAAAATGGTAATTCATTCATAATAGCGTACAAATAACCCCTGAGCTTAAAATAAGTCATGTCTATATTACAGACAGAAAGTTTAATTTTATTTATATGTATAGATTTTAGTACACATAATGCGTTATTTTTAGGGCCACGACACTACCGCCATGGCTCTGACACATTGTCTAATGCTGTTAGCTAACCACGAAGAAGTACAGGTATGGCTCATTTTAATACAGTCTAATGTGTTTATAAACATTATTTAACATCATGTTTATAAACACATTAGCGACTCGTCCCGCAATTGCTTGGTCATATGTGCCTGTCATGGTAAATCACTAGTTCGGGTAAGCCCTACGAGGAACTGGCAAGAAGCTCACAAGAAAATTGTTTTAAATAATAATTCTTATTGAATGTTGAACAGTTTTATTCATTTTAGTCCCATCTAATTAGAACGAACTCATTGTATCTTGAACTTAAGCTCCTTGTCTTGAAACTCGTAAAATTTTGTTTTATTTCACATTAAATTACTACCTAACAATACATTAATTAAAGAGTTTGAAAATTAAAGAGGTATCGTCAGCAAATAATACTATATCGTGATTGTCCCCTACAAGATAAGGTAAGTCATTAATATAGATTAAAAAGAGGAATGGGCCAAGAATCGAGCCCTGAGGAAAGTCTATTGATAATACCAATCCAGAGGAACCTTTACCATTGATTACGACTTTTTGAGTTCTGTTACTTAAATATGAAGTAATAAATCCAAGCACCAAATTTTTTACACCGTAATGTTGTAGTTTCCTGATTAATGTCTCATGATGAACACAATCGAAAGCCTTGGAAAGATCACAAAAAATACCTAAGGCATCTTGTAAATTCTCCCAGGCATTAAAAATATATTTCACAAGCTCAACACCGGCATCAGGCGTCGACCGACCCCTTGTAAAACCAAATTGGTTTTAATGAAGTAATTTATTTGTATTAAAAAAAATTAACAATTGATCCAAAATTATTTTTTCAAAATTTTTACTGAGAGTTGGTAGTACAGAAATAGGTCTAAAATTAGCGGGGTCCAATGTCCTACCAGATTTTAATAAAGGTATTACTTTACAATGCTTCTTTAAAAGCGGAAACGTACCAGAATCGATACAAGTATTAAAAATATGAGGTGCAATTAAATCTATTATGGACGCAATAACTGTAACGGAAATCCCCCACAAATCTGCTGTATTTTTTACATGAATGGTTTTGAAGTATTTTACAATATGTTGCGGTAATACTTTTTTAAATCTAAATTCTTTTAACATTCTGTTTAAGTAATGACTCGGCGACAGTTGGAGAAGTATTCAATGACTCTGTTGTTAGGATAGGAATATTAGTGAAATATTTCTCAAACACCGCTGCGACTTATTGATTTGATTTAGTCAATTCATTGTTAATTTTTAATTGATAGTTTGAGTTACGAGGTTTATCGCTGTTAATTCTCCACGTCATTTTAATTTTATTCTTAGCCGTCTTAATTTTGTTGCTAATATGTAACGATTTGGCTGTGGAGCAAACACTTTTAAACATTTTAGAATAATTTTTGACATATTCTTTTAAAAGCATCGGAAAGATTATATGATCTTTCATGGTAAAGGTCATATAACCTTTGTCTGCTTTTATGAATTCCTACTGTCGCCCAATCATTAAATTAAATATTGTATAAAGATTTTTTAAATTTCCTTGTTTGTGTATATAATGCCCTCCAGATTGAATTTCGATCACGGCGGCCTGTCTCAACGGAGACTAGACATCTGCGCAGGACAGGATTATAGTGCCTAAGTGTGTGAACAAGTTAAGGTGCACTTTTTATTCCTTTGCTCTCATAATCGCGCTCTAAATTCGATGGGGCGGTAATCCAACATTATGTGGGATAGATCAGTCGCAGGGCCTTTCACCTTTACAAGTTTTCCGAGGAACGAAACACGACCAACTTCCGGACACAGGGCTGCCACTGCCAGTTTTTGGCAGAAAACCCAATAACTAATTTTTGGCTCGACTCGGGATTCGATCATTTGATCAGTAGTCCCGTTTCCGGCCACTAGGCAGTCAATCAAATTGTGTACACTTTTGTATCGAGTAATTGAGGGTTTGCATTTTATTAGTACATATTTGAAACTAAAACAATGTCAGAGGTCTTAATGATGCTTTGTGTTAAATATTTCAACGGAATTTCTTACATATTTTGTATTGAGGCCAACTTAAAAAGTGGAACAAATTGTGTGCGTTGATTAATTAAATGATTATTATATACAGGAGAAAATTTACGAAGAATGTAAAACTATATTTGGTGATTCCGACCGAACGCCTAGTTGGTCCGATTTAGCTGAGATGAAATATATAGAAGCGACCATTAAGGAGGCATTACGGCTCTACCCTAGTGTACCATTCTATGGAAGAAAGGTCACTGAAGATTTTATGCTCGGTGAGTTCACATGTTACGAACTTGTTTCTTGAATAAAAAACCAAGGGTTGAAAGTTAGTGATACCCTGTTTTCAAATAGTTGTGTGTTGATCAGGAATTTTTGTAAACTAGTCTACTATTAAGTAAATAATTAAACTTACGGTGTAATCTGTCAGCCCACTTAGTCCCGTAATTGTCGTAAGTTGCAACTATGCGAAATATCAGTAAGATCTCATAGCTTCTAATCCATTTTCTTTACGTCAATTTGCTATAACAAATAAGGGATTTAGATAACTGGCAAAGTCGCTATATATTCTTACGCTAGGTTTAAAAATAATGATGATAATGATGTTATCCCCCTCCATGATATTATAGTACCACAAGTTTCACGCGCAAATACAGAGGATCCCACTACGTCTGACGTAAATGAGATGGTTCATCCATCTATCGGAAACTGTGAAGTCTTCTTGATATTTTCTACTGGCCTCTTACGACACTCACAGACATATGCTGATGATTTGGTGGAACTAGAACGATGGATTCTCGTAGACTGTCATCACATGGTAAAAGCATAAACATTACAAATCTAATGGGAAAAAAGAACAGCAATTTTTTCCAGACAACTTGGCATTTAAACAATGGTGTCAGATATATGGGTACAGTAACTTGCAACAGTCAGCCAGATAACCACTTTATAGAACTAATAAAACAATACATGTCTAACCTAAAAAACAGACTATTTTAATTTTAAACATATGTTTGCTTCATTTATGATTCGAACCAAAAACACACAACTCCGCAGCGAGATATAGATCACTGGGGCATGGGTTTCTATTATTTTATTAAACTGAATAGTTGTTTTTAAATTTTTTATATGTTCTGTAATGTGTGTGTTAGAATAAGGGATCTTTGTTATATGACAATAAATGAATTGTTATTATTAGGTGACTTACTAGTAAAGAAAGGTGTTGAAATACAATTACACATCTATGACTTGCATCATCGTGAGGACATCTATCCGGACGCAGAGGCCTTCAAACCAGAACGGTTCCTCAACGGAGAAGTTCGCCATCCGTATGCATATATACCGTTCAGTGCTGGACCGAGGAACTGCATTGGTTAGATTTTACTTAATTTTTAAAACCTATTTTATACCCTGTCAAATGCACAATAATAAATCAGGCTTTTTCCTCACCTTTTCACACATTTCCCAGCATGATATCGCCCCTTTTCCACCCAAACCCAAACACCGTTTGACCATGTTACGCAAATGTTTGGCCTAACCGTTACAATGGAAAGGGAGTGATCATTCTAGGTAAGTTATTCAGAATAGAGATAGGGTAGAGGATATATATATATTCATCATCATCATCATCATTACAGCCTTTCATAAGTCCACTGCTGAACATAGGCCTCCCCCAAGGAATGCCACAAAGCACGGTCCTGAGCCACCTGCATCCATCGACTTCCTGCATGTCTTACCAGGTCGTCACGTATATACTAGCTGTTCCCCGCGACTTCGCTCGCGTGTTAGAGTTTTTATGTTTTTGCGCGGAATCCTAATTCTATTTCTAAAATAAAAGTAGCCTAAGTTACTCCTTATGAAATTAGCTACCTGCCAATGAAAGTCCCGTCAAAATCGGTCTAGCCGTTTCGTAGATTAGCCGGAACAAACAGACAGACAGACAGACAAAAATATTTAAAAAATTGTGTTTTTGTTATAAGTACCGTATATACTTTCATATGCAATTAGTAAAAATCTATAATTTTGACATTACAAACAGACACTTCAATTTTATTTATTTGTATAGATATATCGCCTCTTTAAGGCATTAGGTAGAACGGTGTGTAGATATGAAAAAGAGTAATTATATAAAATTGTTTCATTCTTTTTCGTTTTTTGAAGATGGTTTTTAATTTTTATTAAATTTTAATTTGTTAGTTACCCTTTTGAGTAAACACTGGAATATCACAAAGTTAACAACTGGAATGTCGTAGTTACAATAACAACCACATCCACAATTTTGTGACCTTTATGTTGATTATTTCTCTAAATTTGTACGGGACTACTTCTCTCTCAGCACAACTCTCACAATTTTTACACGGTTTCGTCCTCCGTACATATCTGCAATATACACATGTAATTTTTGTAATTAATTTGTTTTTGCGGATTAATTATATTGTAGCAGAATTTGGCTGAAGGTGAATATGAACAGCAGTTGACTTCTCAATACAAATAATCTTTATTTTAATTAATATGTAAGGTGATAAGAAAGATACTCGAGTATTGGCCTTGTATCTGTTAACGGAGTGTAAGGCAGCCTCTCACTAGGTAGAGTGACGATCTGGTGAGACAGTGCTGGAAGTTGCTAGATGCAGGTGGCTCTGGTCCGTGTTTTGTGATATTCCTAGTTGGATGGTTATGCTCAGCTATGGAATAGAAACTTTGCTCTTAAGAAACAGCAAGAACGAAAGTGAACAGAATAGTTTACAATCATATTTTATGTTTCACAATAAACTAAATAAAATAAATTAGATATATAGGTTATTATCATCCATAAATTATTCAACTCCTTTTATACAATCTTTTAAAAAATCTAAGTAGACTTGTGGAGGTCAGTAATGATGATGATGACGATGATTTGGGGGATGTAGAAGAAATATAACAACTTTTTCAAATGTAAGCGTCTCACGCTGTGCACCCAGTTTGTTATCGAAAACGCCGAACTTAAGGTCCACGCATTTAAGGCCCATTTACATCTTGTACATACAAGAGCAATCATTGAATGCAATTAAATTAGCGCAAAAATTGCCATTCATGAATCGTAAGCAACTGTTTACACGCGGGTGATTGAATGCGGTTATTGAATGCATGTCTTGACAAGAAATAATTGCTATTGTCTTTTGTCTACACCAAAGCAATTATATTTAGGAGATATTTGCTTTCAAGTTTTGACTTGCCTAAACACAGCCTTGTACGTGCTTGTACATTTTTTTGACTTGTTGCTTTGAGTATTGCACGTATTTGCATTGGCGAATTTTTGATTCCAGTGCCGAACGTTTTAGAAGGGAGGTGGTTTATTAAAAATAAGTCAAAAAGTGTTAAAATTTGATACTGCTGATTATCTCAGTCATGAGTGTTTATGGGATACTGAAAATGTGAATGACAAGAATTGTAATGAATGTAATGCTGCACTAGCAGCATTTGACTAGGAATTTGGAGTTGATTGTGATTGGATAATACATCTAATTAATCTCCAATCGTCAAATTTTTAAATGTTATTTCTAGTTTCGTTCGAGCAAGAATACCATTACGCATTATTGTATTTTTTCTTTGTATAGAAGAAGTAACTTTATCTAACAAATAATAAAACTGGGTTTTGTTCACACGAAACATGTCGTTAAAATCATCTTCTATTTTTGTTTGTAACCAAGATTGTTAGATGCTCCGAAAAACTCCCGTCTTGCTATACATTTTTTGACCCAACACCTTTTTTATTAATATTTCATATAACATTGCATAAGAAATTTATTGTGTGTGCTGTTTACACCAAGAAAAGTTTTGAATCGAAACTTGCTCAATGGATCAAGAGTGTTACGTGTTGTTAAGACCATGCAAGTAATTTATTGCTTTAACGTATTTGTATACAACAGGCAAGAAACTTGCATCGTGTAAATGGGATGGGATGGGAGGTTCATTGTGAGGGTCTCGAGTTCAGCACTCATGACAGTATAGTAATGGCAATTTTCTTATAAAGGCCCAAGTTAGTGGTCCCCTTTATGAAAATCTCGTAAAGAGGTTCAAAATTTGCTTAAAGTGGAAAAAATTACATAAATTAAATAAAAATTATAAATCTTAATACACAGGTAGGCGATTTGCGATGCAGGAAATGAAATGTGCCCTCAGCGAGATCTGCAGACACTTCAGACTGGTCCCGAAAACGAAAGGGGCCCGACTAACGCTTAAGGCCGATATTGTACTGCGATCTGTAAATCCTATATATGTTAAATTTTTACCGCGTTAACTAAATACAATTATAAAAATTGAATTTTGTTTTATTTTCATATTTTGATCTTGTAAGAAGCAATAACAAATCAAACCAACACGTAAAAAGTTTTTCGTCCAACAATTAAAATTGTACTATACAATTTTAATTGTTATTGTAATATAAAAATAAAAATGTTTGATTGTTCAAAGTTTTAAATCTCTGAAGATTCTTCACCAATTGCAGTCTTTTCGAATTTGCACTTGTGTACATATGTACGTAATGATGCGCAAGTTAGAGCTCGTAACACAAAACTAGACATTCACAAGGCGTATTTTGAAGAGCTAAAATCAATAGTTAAATGTGCCGTAGCCCTGGGTGTCGTAAGAAGTGACAGTGGGAAATAGGCAGGAGATGGGCAGCAGCATTTTCCTGACAATAAATGAAACTACAGTTGCCATCCCGCTTGCCAAGCGTGGCAACAATGGAAAATATCCCTCCATGAAATGAAAGTTACAAAGAGACAGCTCCCAGTCCCCGGCGGCCCCGCTATTCTTGGTTACGGTGGCAACCATGGTAACGACGGGGCAGGGGGTACTAAGAATCTCCGGTAGAGGTTCGGTTGCCACCTAAGATGACTCGACCTGGCAACATACAACGCACGCAACCTAAACACTGACGAGAAGATCGTGGAACTGGAAGAAAGGAATTTGCGCTGGAATATTGTAGGATTATCCGAGGTCCGAAGAGAGGAGAGGACACGGTAATCAACGAATCCGGCAACTTGCTCTATCACCGGGAGGGCGACCATCTGTCCCAAGGAGGTGTCGGATTTATCGTCCACATGTCCTCTCGTTGACAACGTTGTAAAGATTGGGAGTGTGTCGACGAGGATTGCATACCTTATACTCAGAATCACCAAACGGTAGTTGCTGAAAGTCATACAGGTCTACGCACCAACCTCGGCACATCCCGATCAGGAGGTGGATGAAACATATGAGGATATATCTAAAGCCATGCATTCCTCCAAAATCCACTATATGGAGTGAATGGGAGACTTCAACGAAAAACCAGCCACAAGAGAGAACGGTGATCTGAATATAAGGAAATTTGGAATAGCAAAGGAACACAAGGAACCTGCAGCTGGCCGACTTCAAGGAGAAAGAGGGACTCTTTATCAATTCGTTATGTCGACCAGACGACAACGGTTCAGTGATGTCTCAGTGGTCGCGAGGGTGAAAACTGGTAGCTATCAACGAATGGTTATAGTGCATACTGAACCTAAACGTTAAGTTGGAGAGGTCTTGTCTGATGAAGTCAACCCTCCGTCCCCCTCGGGCTCTAATCCAAAGTCACGAAACATTTCGGCTCGAGTTACAAAACCGTTTTCAGTGCCTAGAATACTGCAATGTTGTGGACGATATGAATGACAAGGTCATGGAAACTGTCCATGCGGTCGGAGATAAGTTCTGCAAGACCTGCCTCAGAAGAACACAAACACTCTCCGATCACACTCTTAACCTGATGGCTGTTAGACGGGATGTCTTCAACAGAGTTGACAGATCGCAAAATGCATGGGGCGGGACTTACGCAACTTCAATACAGCTTGTATTGAAGAAGCGATCGAGCGGAATCAAAGCTACAAAGTTTTTGCCAGAGATCTGTCTGCTAGCAAGAGCCAACTGTCAAAGGCAAAGACCGAGTGAAAGCATCCTTTTCGGGACACCTGAGATTTTGAGTGAGATTGAGAGGTACTGTGGGCAGCTGTACACATGGTTGGAGCAACATGTAAGTGTGAGTAACAATCCGAGAGCCAGTCTTAACCGACAACATTCCGATGATATTCCGGACGTCAGTGTGAGCGAGATTAGAATGCCTCTCCAGCACCTTAAAAACGGCAAGGCCCCAGGCGAGAATGGAATTACAGCGGCGCTTCCGAAAGCAGGTGGAAAACCGGTACTTGAAGTCCTTCAGAAGCTCTATAATTCCAGCCTCCATGGTGGCACTACAACGGAGGCGTAGAGCAGAAGTGTGGTGGTCTTGTTCTTCAAAAAAGGCGACAACGCTTTCTTGAAAAACTACAGACCGATTTTCCTTCCGAGCCGCGTATACGTGGTATTTTCGAGAGTCATTACGAATCATCTGGCATCCAGACTCGACGACTTCCACCTTACCGAACAAGCCAGTCTCCGAAAAGACTTTAGCACCATAGACCACATACATACCCTTCATCAAATTGTAGATAAGTCCGAGGAATACAATTTGCCACTATATCTGGCATGTGTGGACTATGAGAAAGCCATCGATTTCGTCGAAATTCGGGCGCTGCTGCAGTCCCTTCAGCAGTGCCAATTTAACTGTCGGTATACCGAAGCGCTGAAGTGTTTGTGCAGTAGGGCTACGATGGCTATTCGACAGAATCAGAGTACGAAACCTATCCAACTGCAGAGAAGTGTATGAGAGAGTGACGTTATATCCCCGAAACTCTTCACCGCTGCATTGGTAGAAGTTTTCAAGCTACTAGACAGGAAAGGATACGGTATTAACATGAATGGCGAGTACATCACTGACCTTCGATTTGCCGACGATATATTCTTTATGGCAGAATCGCTGGAGGACCTAAGCAATATGCTCAATGACCTCAAAAGTGTCTCCCAACGGTCTTAAGGTGAACACGGACAAAGCACATATCATATCCATGTCATACATATGTCGGTAGTCGTTGGGAGCACTAAGTTCGAAGTCGTTGACGAGTATGTTTACCTGGGACAAATAGTCCGACGAGGTAAGTCCAACTTCGATAGAGCGGTTAATCGACGGATTCAACTTAGCTGGGCAGCGTTTGGGAAATTAAGACACATCTTTTCGTCAGGTTTCGTCTAAACATATGGGATGGGATGGGAGGTTCATTGTGTCAGCACTCATTACAATTTAATTTTGTTTTATTTTCACATTTTGATCTTGTAAGAAGCAATACTAAATCAAACCAACACGTAAAATTTATTCAGAGCCAATTCAAGACCTTTTCTGCCACCAAGGCGGCGCCACTTTGGAATGTAGTATAATATTTGATACATTTCATAGCAACTAGCAATGAAGTTAATTTCTTAGCAAAATGTAAAGGTTTATGTTTCTTTCTGTACTTTTACTAATATTTTATATTAATTAGATTAAAAATAAACCAAACCACAGATATTCCTGAATGTTGAAAAATAAGAAATAAAATGTTGAAAATGTGCAAAAAATTTTAAGAGTAAGAGGCATTGTTTTGTGTATTAATACAATACTCTAGAAACCGCTAAACTTTTATTTATATCTAACTTCAATTCAATTGAATGACATTGTGTCACAAAAAACTTCACTTCAGTCTCCATTAACGATATCTGGTGAACGGAAGGTTACTAGCCCTCATTTGGTAACATTCCACGGAATTTTATTATAAACTAGCTGTGTCCCGCGGTTTCACCCACGTATATCACGCGTCTGCACCGCGTGACATGCGAACTTCGAGAGACACATCACAACGGATTGTTGCTGAATTAACAAAGATTTAAAAAGTGAAAAATATTACTTAAATTACATGGTTAATTTGGATATAAGGATTAATACAAAGATATGAATAATGTGGTCTAGTTTGTATTGGTGTTGCTATTGCATATTTCATGAAAATGTAGTTATTGTGACATAACTGTAATAGGTAGACATATGGTATCGCAGACTTTTTTGTAGATATTGATGTCCTCTATATAACTGTAGTACATCACTTTGCTCTATTGTCAATAGTTTCCGCGGCGTACGCGATAAAAGTATTTTTCGACATTACTATTACATATTTTATCATGAAAAAGTAGTTATTGTGACATAACTATAATAGTTAAACATATGATATTGCTGACTTTTGTAGATATTGATGTCCTCAAACTGTAGTACATTACTTTGCTCTATTGTCAATAGGTTTATTTTGGTATTTTTTCACACCTTAGGTTACATTAACGTAGTTTTTATACGGCTCCCTAATTTTTTTTTGAAAATATTCTCTAGCCTATGTTCATCAAGAACAATGTAGGATTATAATGGTGAAAGAATTTTTCAAATTGGTCCAGTAGTTTCGGAGCATATTCAATTCAAACAAACAAAGAAATCTTTCCTCTTTATACTATAATAATAATAATAATATAAGTGTAGGTTGTGCTAACTGACATAATAATGCCGGCATTTTGGTGCGTTTATAAAACCTGTAGAATGGTTATTACTTTTTATATTGATTAATATTTTTTGTATCGACTACGCTCATCATTTCGGCTGTATAGCGAAACTTTTTCAAATAATCAATTGTGTAACCATGCCACTTCAATAATTTCAATAACTGTCCATTAGCTGCCAACTGCGTGAAAATATTGATTTGGCTTATGTATTTTCGTTGCACCTATATGAACAAGACTTAATAATATATTTCTTTTAACGTTCTGCAGCCTATGCTGTAAAAACGATTAGAGGTCTCACTAGTGTCGAGAAAGCTAGATTAGTTTATTTTAGTTATTTCCATAGCATAATGTCTTATGGGATTTTGCTATGGGGAAATGCGGCTGATTCAGAAACTATTTTTGTTTTACAGAAGAGGGCCATTAGAGCTATTTACAATCTAAAACCGAGAGAGTCTCTTAGAGATAAATTTAAAGAAATTAATATATTAATTTTGGCCTCTCAGTATATTTACGAAAATTTAATGTATGTTCACAAAAACAAAGATAGTTTTAGAAAAAAAAGTGATATACATTCTGTAAACACTAGGAACAAACACAAGCTAGTGATGCCAGTTTCTCGACTCCACAGAGTCCGTAATTCATTTTTGGGGCAATGTATACGCTATTACAACAAGGTCCCGGAAAGTGTACAGGTTCTCTCTATTACCAAATTTAAATGTTTTATTAAGCTTAAACTGTACAAAAAGGGTTATTATAGTATTAATGAATACATGGTTGATAATAACCCCTGGGAATGAGGTGGTCGCTTCCAAGCAGTTTCTAAAATAATTTTTG